GTGTATGTGTGTGTGTGTGTGTGTGTGTGTGTGTGTGTATCTCTGGTAAAATTAAAATAAATAAATGAATAAATAAAATAAAATAAATAATTTTAAAGAGGGGGACCGGCAAGTGGCATGGTGGTTAAGATGCTGGACACCCCCACATGGCTGACTGCAGTTCAAGTCCTGGACCTGGTGACTTGCTTTAGCTCATTCTTTTTCTCTCTCATTGTCTCTCTCTGGTCAAATTAAAATAAATGAATGAATAAATAAAATAAAAAATTAACAATTTTTTAAAAAAGATTAGTATGGAATAAGAATGGATTACTTATTAAAGGTTATTATTTTTTTAAATTAATTGTTTTACTGACCAGTGGGCATCCCAAAGAGATGGAGAAACAGAAAGAAAGAGAAAGGGAGGTAGCACCCCCAGTGGCACATGGTCATATCACAGTCCCTTCTCCATTTCTCTACCCCGTCTGGATTTGGGGTCTGAACACACATGCACTCAGAGTGTTTTTCAAGTCACCAGGGCTGGGATTCAAACTGCTTGCCATGTGGAACCCAGTTCCCATAACTACTAGACTACAGGGCTGGCTCAGTTTTTATTAAAATATTTTGGTTATTTAACCAAAATCTTACTTTTTATGTATTTCAATTTTCTGACTAGAAATGGGGAGATGTAAGAGTTCCAGGTTTTATCTGCAGTTTTAGGACTTATTAGCAATAAGTTTCTTCAAAAAGTTTAGGTGAAAATAAAAACCTATGCTTGGATTTCAAATCTTTTTGCACCTAAGTAAATGAGTACATTGATTCCATTTTCCACGAACTTTTTTTTTTGACGTTCCCTCATGCATTAGGAACATTGTTTGAGGAAATCATCCCCCTCTATTACCTGCATATGAACACTAGATGGTGCTATTGGCTTAAATAAGTTTTCTCATTAGAGAGTTCGGCCATCTTTTGTCTTATCAAAATCTCTTCTTGTCAAAGCATTCATTTCATTAAAATATATATTTTATAGTTGAAAATGCTGATGTTATTTGCATTATTTATAAACTCTTACTTCTAATTATAGAGTTGTTTTGTTCCTAGTGTCTCAACTTTCATATAGATTCTAATTACACATGACTTCTTAGGGTTACACAAACTAAGATGTTTCCATCTGTGGAAAAAAATAAAAATATAAAGTCTTCTTATAAAAATGCTTCTAGAAAGTATTTTACCTTCCAAATGCTGGTTTATATATTAAAACAATAATAACTGGAGTAAAATAACACAGTCTTTCTGCCTCTTTTTTTCCTTCCTGTGAGAAATGGTGCCTATTTTGCATGAACAATCAAGGGAAGTAAGTTTAAATTTTCTTTTCTTTCTTTTCCTTCTTTTTTTCCCTCAGAGTGGTTAGATTTTATTTTCCTTTGGCCTTCAGTTTCCAGAATCCTTCAATGTTTTCTCTGTCTTTTCAGTTCTCCTGCCTTTGACTGGTGCTCTCGGAACAGGAGTGCTCTTTATTCACCTGAGACATTTCTTTGAAAGTACAAAGGTTCAGATACTTGCACGAGAAAGAATAATTCCCTGAAATGAGGCAGGCTTGGGTATCTGTAAGTTAAGAAAGTGATTGTTTCTGTACAAACGATATTTTTAAAAAGTGATTCTGGCTCACAGGGTTGAGAACCTCTCTGTGTAAAATAGACACCATTAGGATTTTTCTGTTGACCTGGAGGGAGGAGGAGCAGGCATAAGCTGTAATGGTTGCTTCCTCCTTCCAGCTTCTCTTGTAGTTTAGGAGCTGCCTTTGACAAGAAGGAATGCCATAGTGGTGTTTCCAGAAACCCCAGTGGTATGCCTCTTTTATAACGTTAATCCCTTGAGTGTCAGCTAGCTCCCTTTTCCCCTTCAGGAAGAATAGTTCATTCCGAGAATGGATCTCTATTATTTTGACATCTTGGCAGAAGGAACAATGTCTAACCATTTAATCAAATTTAAGTTTGGTTATTCCTGTGGGATTTGTATTTTGTATTTGGTCTATATCTGTATTTAAAATATTACCAAAATAATATCATGTTTCTGGAAATTTATAAACTAGAAGAAAATTACTGTCATTTTACCATTTTGCTATACAAACCTTCTTATTATTCTTATAGAGGGACATCTTCTTCCAGGCTCTTTCATATGTATTTTTACATTATATTTTTAAATAACTTCAATTGAGTATTTTGCTTCGTTTTTCTACTTACATTTTTGTCATATATTATTATATAAAATATGAAAATAATAATGTCAGTGTTAATAACTTTTACATCAGTTTGAAGTCATCTGCAGTTAACTGCTGCCTCTGTCTCTGTGATCTTGGACACAGTTATTTAGCATCTCTGCTTCTGTTTCCTGTAAAGCAAAATGACAACAGTAATCCCATTTCATGAGGATGCTGTGAATATTAGAAAGCATGTGTAGATTTCCAAATAATACTTAGCATATAGGAACTGATCAATTAATAGTAGTTAAAATAATCAATAGTGAATAATATTTTAGCCTTGATAGTCCTCCATAAAGTAGGCCCATAATTACCTTTAATTTGCCAGGATTAAATCCAAGTATGTGTGTATGTGTGTGTGTGTATTTAATTTTCTAGGATTAAACCCCAGTATATTTGTAAACTTAGATTTCATGTTTCAAAATTGAATAGTTGCATTTTTATATAGACAAGGATTCTTTGTGCTACACCGAGATAAAATAAACTGAACATTTTTTTTTTTTTGAGAGGTTTTTGCTATAGGGTGCATGCACTCTCCAGAAAGACAGAGAGAGACAGAAAGTAAATTATCACCCCCCACCACCCCTGGGGGGATGGCCACGCTGAAATCCCTTCTCCTCCATTCTCCTCTCTGGGATCTTAGGCATGCACACACACGCACCTGGCGTGAGTTTAAGCCACCAGGTCTGGGACTCGAACTGCGGTTGGCTACATGGGAGGCCAGTGACATAGCCACCACACCAATTGCTGGTCCCTGAACATCTTTTAAATAGACTACAGGTGACTGGCTCAATCTCTCTCTTTGGCAGGTCTCCTGGTACTGTATCTTGGGTCGCAAAGCAGAAGGAAGCTATGGAAAAGTCAGGCTAAATAATAATCATCTCCCCAATTCAGGAGAAGCGGTATGTTGAATTAACTGTCAGGGAGTCTTACTGAAGCCTCATTAATGACTATTAAATGTGCTTTGTCCCCCTTACGAAGTCATTATCTCAGTGAATGTTTCCAGTTTCAACTTGAATCAAAGCTAAAATCCAACAGTGAAAGAAGAAGTTGTGTTTTTACATACAAGTTTTCTTAACTATGTTTGTTAAGAAATTGTGCTATTTTAGTTTTCCTTATATAACCTGAAGTATGTTTTTGTTAATAGATACCAGCTGATGGAAAAAGCATTTTTGAAGTGAAAGGTTTAGAAACAAATGAAAAATACATATTCGCGATTGCTGCTTATTCTTCTAATGGGAAGCTTGTTGGTGACGCTATTGGAGAGACAACGAAACCAATTCTGGTGTACCCACCTCTTTCTGCTGTTACTGCTCGGATGTTCCTGACGCAGGTAGAAGAGATCTCGGTTCATATTTTTCTCCTGTGTTTTTCTTTCGTTAAACAGTTACTAAGTAATCCCTGTTGAAAAAAGATCATAGTGGATATTCTAAAGTTCCTATAATAATCTTCCATTATTGCAGTTTAGTTTCATAAAATATAAATAATTTCATTTCTTTTTAGTGAATTTGCTATTTTATAATAACTTTTTTTTCTGGATTACAAATCTCACACATATGAATTTTAGAAAATTTGGAAAATCCTGAAATGCATGAAGAAGAAAGTAAATGATACCTGTTATTCTGCCAGTGGTTCTTACCCCAGGGCAAATTTGTCAATGTCTGAACACATTTCTGATTGTCACACTTTAGTGGGTGCTACGAACATCGAGTGACAGAGGCCAAGATTGCTGATAAACACACCATGATGTACCAGTCAGCCCCTCATAACAAAAAATTATCCAGCGCAAAATGTCGATAGTGCCATGGCTGGGAAACACTGACCCAGAGTTAACCTTTCACTTTTGTGTGTCTATCTGCCTGTCTAAGTATATATTTATGTATATATATATGTACTTGCATGGATACATTTGTATTTTTGAATTTATGTGTAATATAGAATATTTTTAAAAGAATTATTTAAACAATTTTATTTATTTAGTATTATTCTTCAATTTGACCAGAGAGAGGGACAGAGACAGAGAGCAAGAAAGCAAGCCATGAGGTCTGGGACTCGAATTGTGGTTGGCCATGTGGGAATCCAGCACTATAACCACCACACCACCTGCGGGCCGCAATATAGAATATTAATAATAGCATACATATTCTTTTATATCCTGACATTTTAATCTATATATAAGCAACATTTTCTATTACATCAAGTATTCCTTTCAAACAATTTTTAATGACCCCATGGTATTGAATCTTATGGGTATATCACAGTTTATTTAGTTGTTCTCTATTGCTGGACATTGAGGCATTTTCTAGTCTTTTGTTATTATAAACAAAGCTATGATGTACATATTTCTATAGAAACCTTTATCAGAATTTACTATTACCTTCTTAGGATAAATTCTTAGAAGTGAAATTTCTGACTCAATACAGATAGACGGACAGACCTGAGTTCAAATTCTAGCTCTTCACACTTGCCCTGTGATATTACACCAGTCGTTTTCTTTCTTTCTTCCATCCTTCCTTCCTTCCTTCCTTCCTTCCTTCCTTCCTTCCTTCCTTCCTTTTGTGCCACTGGGTCCAGGCCTTGAATCAAAATGGGCCATGTGGGAGTCCAGCGCCTTAACCAACACACCACCTGATGGTTTCAATAGTATTTCCTTTTTTTTTTGGAGAGATTTTCACTGTAGGGCGCTTGCGCTCGCCAGACAGAGAGAGACATAGAGACAGAAAGCAAGAAATCATCCCCCAGGGGGGATGGTCACGCCGCAATCCCTTCTCCTCCATTCTCCTCTCGGGATCTTGGGCACGCACGCACACGCGCCCGGCGTGAGTTTCAAGCCACCGGGTCCGGGACACGATCCGCGGTCGACTACGTGGGAGTCCAGCAACATAGCCATTACGCTAACTGCTGGTTCCCGCCAATAGTATTACTTTTTGAGTTATGGATATACTCCTGAATTATAGCAATTGCCTGACTTAAAACGTGTCACCAGGGAAAAGGATACTAAAAAAGAGTGACTTGTGACCTATGTCTCAGTTTCTGTTCTAAGCTTATTGTTGGCTGTAAAGCTGATGGGTAGTCTAAAAGTTATATTTCTAGTGTGCTGTTTTTCTCTTAATAGCTGATTAGTATTATAACTTCAGATCTTAGTGGCATTTTATATTACCATATTTTTCAAAGAAAATTAACTTGAGAGAATTGCTGGGATTTGTCTAGCACTGGTTTAGCATGTCATATTGGCTTATGGTTTTCTGATGTTTTGATGTCCTTGGAATCTAATATATTCCCTAATTTGCAATGATGGAGTTATTGTGAGAAACTGAATATTTCATCAAGGCCTAATTTTTCTCCAGGGAGTGGTTTGGCTCTTGGGCTCCATTTGGCAGAACTTTCATTGAAAGTTAATAAAACTAGGTCCATGCTATTCTGCTGGGACAAAGAGAAGTGTCATGAAGTAATGATCTGTGTGTCTTTATCGATACTATACTTGCAGTTTCGTAGTTCATTTCTGACAACTTGTGAGCATTCTCACTCAGAACGTTATGTGGTTACTTACTTTATAACTTAAGTATATGCTACACTTCTTGTATAGTGAGTGAAGGCACCTTTTCTAATTCTAGCAAGTGAATGCATCTTTTCTAGTTCTAGCAAGTGAATGTACCTTTCTTTTGTAAGTACAATTTAATTTTCATGAGACAGGTTAGTTTTTGCTTTGGGGACAATTCTGTTCTCCCATGTAGTCGAACACGGTTTGAGTCCCGGACCTGATGGCTTAAAAAGCTCACACCGGTTGCATGTGCATGCATGCCCAAGATCCCGAGAGGGGAAAGGAAGAGGGATTGCGGTGTGGCCATCCCCCCTAGAGAGTGATTTCTCGCTTTCTGTCTCTCTGTGTCTTTCTGGCAAGCACACGTGCCCTATAGCAAAAATTAATAATAATAATAATTTAACTTTATTTATTTATTTATTTATTTATTTATTTAAATTTGACCAGAGAGGGATAGAGTCAGAGTGAGAGAGAGAAGGAAAGTGAGAAAGCAACCTGCTGGTCTGGGACTCAAAACATGGTCAGCCATGTGGAAGTGCAGCGCCCTTAACCACCACACCACCTGCTGGCCCTTAACATAGATATTTTACAGTAAAGTATGGAGCTATGTCACTAGCTGGCTATGATTAACTTGGCTTTTGAGTTTTTAGATTTTACTTTTACTCAACAGAATCTTATAAACATTAATAAAGTCAGGTGAATCTTTTTTATGTGGGAAAAACATTCAAAATTTATTTTCCGACAGACAGATAGCATCAGCAGGTACAACTACAGGGGTTTCTCTGTAGCCCATACAGTCACAAGGAATTACTAGTTCAACAGGGAGAAATGCCAATCAAGACCGTTACCCAAAGTTTTGTGTCTTTAGTTATTGTGCTTGACTTTAGGACCCCCACTCCCAATTTCTTTTTGCCAAGTTGTGTTTTTTTCCTTCTGGAATTTTAAGTGGACACAATAATAGTAACTGTTTATACTGTAAAGTAGATATTGTTATGGAATGGCATCTTCTTTGAGTAGAAGGCTGTTTCATCCACACTGAAAATTTGTTGTTTAGTGTGGCCACCTTCGTTGGTTATCTTAGCTAGAGCTTCTGGATAACTTGCTATAACTTTGATGTCATCTCTTGCTGTCTCTTGTACTTTTATGTTACAGAGGGTGCTTCTTTCCTTAATCCTTATAAACCAGTGCCCGTCAGTTTCACATGATTACTATGAAATTTACTCACCTCTCTTGGCTTTCATAGAAATGAAGAGCGTTAGAACCTTGCTTTGAATTAGGCTTTGGCTTAAGGGAAGGTGTGGCTAGTCTGATCTATCCAGACCACTACAACTCTCCATATCAATAGTAGGCTGTTTGCTTTTCTTATTTGTATGCTATTTTATTTATTTATTTTTTTTTGAAGAGGTTTCTGCTATAGGGTGCGTGCACTTGCCAGACAGACAGAGAGAGACATAGAGACAGAAAGTGAGAAATCACCCCCCAGGGGATATGGTCACGCCGCAATCCCTTCTCCTCCCTTCTCCTCCATTCTCCTCTCTGGATCTTGGGCATGCACGCACATGTGCCCGGCGTGAGTTTTAAGCCACCGGGTCTGGGACACGAACCGCGGTCGACTACGTGGGAGTCCAGGGACATAGCCATTACTCTAACTGCTGGTTCCCTGTATGTTCGCTAGAGTAGCACTTCTAATTTCTTTCAAGAACTCTTCCTTTACATTCAAAACTTGACTAACTGTGGTGCAAGAGCTTTTGACCTATTTCTGTTTTTGTCAGGTCATCCTCACCAAACTTAATAGATGTTTAACCCTTCCTTCTATTTAAATACTGAGAGGACAATGTATTGTAGTGTTAATCAGCCTAACTTTAATATTCTTTTGTTCTAGGGATTAGGGAAGCCCACAGAGGGAGAGAGATAGGGAGATGGCTTGTTAGTGGAGTAGTGAGAACATACTATTCATTAAGTTTGCCATTTTATATGGCCGTGGTTTGTGGTGACCCAAAACCATTACAATAGTAACTTGAAGGATTACTGATCACATCACCATCACAGATATGACAAAAATAATGAAAAGTCAGGTATATTGTAAGAATTACCAGAATGTGACACAGACCCATGAAGCAAACACACGGTTTTGGAAAGGTGCTGCCATAGACTTGCTTAAAACAGAATTGCCACAAATCTTCAATTTAAAAAAAACCACAGTATTTGCAATGTGCCATAATGAGAAGTGCAATAAAATGAGGTATAATGTAGTTTCACCAACCCCCTTATACATCAGCTGTCAGTTTGCATGATGAATCCTGAGAATTATATGGTATTTTAGTGACCACTTAGTTCAGCTGTTTCCTTTGACAGATGCAGACAGAGAAGTGACTCATTCACCGCTCTAAGACTTGGCACCACTATTTTTACTCTCAGGCTCTATACAAGTTATTCAATTTCTCAATGTCCCAGCTTCCTCATCAGCTAAATAGGGATGAGAACAGAGCTCACTTTTTTTCTTTTAGATGTTTTTTTTTTTTTTTTTTTTTTTTCACAGGATGTGTACACCTACCAGAAAGAGAGAGAGAGAGAGAGAGAATGTGCACATGTGTATGAGAGAGTGAGAAATCATTACCCCCTTGGAGGATGACCATGCCACAGTCCCTTTTCCTATATTCTCCTCTAGGGATTTTTGGCATCCATGCATACACGCCCAGTGTATTTTTCAGGCCTCTGTGTCTGGGTCTTGAACTGTAGAGCTAGCCATCTGGAAATCCAGCGCTTTAACCACTATGCCACCTGCTGGCCCAGAGCTCACTTTTTACAGCTGTAGTGAGGAGTTCATACAATAGTATACATCAAGTGCTTAGTCCAGTATTTAACATCTTTAAAATTTCACCTGATTTTGAAGGCCTTCTGAAATCATGTCCCACTTTACCTTTCCAGTCATATTGCCCACTTTTCTTGTCTTTCCAGTCTCTTCTAAATGCACTCTGCTGGTTTCCAGTACTGGACCTTTTTCCAATTCTGTCTGAACTATGGTGATCTGAATCTTATCCCTGCCTTAGAGTTCAACTCAAGCCCTGCTTATCCTTCATTTCTCTTTTTTTAATGCTTCTACACTTATGCTAGTTTTTTTTCTTTTCTGTGATTTCATGTATTTCATCCCTTTAACTTAATTCCAATTTCATAGTGTGAGACTATTGCTTTGCTTTGCTTTGCTTTCCTTTTTCTTTCTTTTCTTTTCTTTTTTTTTTTTTTTTTCTGAAAAGCTATAAGGCATGTGTACTAGCCAGAGAGACAGAAAGTGAGAAATCACCCTCCTGGAGGCTGGCCATACAACAGTTCCTTTGTCTCTATTCTCCTTTAAGGATTTTGGGCACACATGCATCTGGTATGAGTCTTAAGGCACCAGGTCTAGGACTCTAACCATGGCCGACTATGTGGGAGTTCAGTGACGTAACCATTACACCATCTGCTGGTCCCATGTGTAAGGTTATATCTAAGCTTTGAAGAATCTATCTGTATAATGCTTAGCACAGGACAGAAAGTTCACAAAAGTTACTGGTTGGTTAATTAGTAGTACCCAAATAGCAGATGTGGAAAGTTTTGTCCCTATAAATTAATTCCTTGAATGGTAAACATCCTTTCATTTAAATAATTGTTTTATTTAACTTTATTTATTTATTTATTTATTTGAATTTCACTTGAGAGGGACAGAGTGAAAAAGAGAGAGGAAGAGAAAGTGAGAAGGCAAGCTGCCAAATCTGGGACTCAAACTGTGGTCAGCCATGTGGGAGTCCAGCGCCCTTAACCACCATGCCACTTGCCAACCCTGAGTGGAAAATATTCTAGTAATATGTTATTTACATGCTTAATTAAATGAACTTATCTATACTTTATATCCTATCTGCTTTCATAAAAGATTTGCTTTCATAAAAAGAAATCTGGTGAGATTTTATATTATTTTATATATGTTTAAATAGAATAATTTCTATAGATATCACTAAAGAAATACATAAGGGGTCTTCACAAAGTTCATGGAAAAATGTATATTATGAAAAAGTATGCATGGATTTAAAATTTTTTTTCTTGCACCAGTATGAATTTCATGGTGTGAGAAATTACTCCCCAAAGGGGATGGACGTATCATGAGCCCTTCTCCTCCGTTCTCCTCTTGGGATTTTGGGCACATGTGCACATGCACCTGGTATGATTTTCAAGTTACTGGAGTTCAAGACTTGAACTGCTAATTGGTCTTATGGGATTCTGCCATTTTAACCTTCATGCCACCCTCTGGCCTTAGACATGTACTTCTAATTCCATTTTCCCTCAACCAATTTTTTGATGTCCCCTTATTATCTACTAGAAGACATTGTTTGTTTTTGCTTTTGAATTCTAGGCTTCAGTGAAGAAATGACTTATTTTGTCTAGTGTTAAATTTGTTAAACTTTAAACATACCATGCCTCCTTGGAAAGTTTCTTTGTTTTATTCTTCACTCTTTTCAACTCTGAACCTTTGTTGCACAAAAGCTCTGCAAGTGTCAGTCAGAGCTAGAAAAGAATGAAGTCTATTTCATATATTGGGTTTGGGAAATCTGATTGTTTCTCTTGGAACAGATTGTTCATTATAACAGTATCTATTATAAATGGAGCGCACTGCCGAGATAGGTGGAAATGAAATTAATTTGGCTCAGATGTGATCTTTGTTTTGCTTATGAGGATTTGAAACATCCTTACAGAGTTTCAAATTTCCATGCAATTTAGAAATAAAAGAGATTTCTAAATGTATCCATCTCCCTTGCCAGTGGCCATCGTTTCCTCACTATGGCATGGTAGAACAGAATAACAAATGTGAATAACTGTATAAAATAGTGTGCAATAGGAGCTTATCAAAATTCTTGTTTGGAATATGCATCTCACAGATAAAATTACCACATAGATAATGTGCTTCTTGTTGTAGGTTGCCTATCAGATTGGTCACTACAAGTTGGCTAAGACAGTTTTCTCACCAGTTTGGGATTATTTTGTTGCTTCGCCACTTCAGGATGAACAATCTGTTATTTCTTTAAGCAATGCAATGACTATTACACAGAGAAGGTAATTATTAGTACCCTTTTAAGATGCTAATTTACCTACTGGAAATACAGATGTTGGGTATAAAGCCTAGAATTAATTCATTTTCAATTTCATATCTGTTAAGATCATTTAAAACTACTTCTATTAAGAATTCAATAAGAGTTTACATTCTAAGTCTCAGGTCCTTGTTAGAAACTTCTTTGGTAGAGTAAAAAAAAAAAAAAAAAAAAAAAACCAAAAACCAAAACAAAACAATTACTAAGCATAGCAATATTAGTTATACCAGAAAGCATTAATATGCACTGGGAACTTTTGTACCAAAGAAAGGTCAGGTTGAGGTTACAGGTCAAGGTTTGATGGATAAGGTTAAAGCAAGAAGACTCTTTCTTTCCTCAGTAGGCTCCCAGGATTAGACCAGAGCAACTGCAAATAGGCTGGTAAAAGCCATATAAAACTAGGGGGCTAACCTTTGTCTCTACTGCCATTTTCCTTAAAAAGAACGAAGATTAAGAGTGGCCTCAGAAATGAGCCTTATTGTAATTTCAGGCTGTCTCAACTACAGATTCAAAAACATTAATCTCCCTTACCTATTTTTGCCTTTTTTTTTCCCTTAAGGTTTTTGCCATAGGGCATGTGTGCTCACCAGAGAGACGCAGGGAGAGACAATAAGAGGGTAAGTGAGAAATCACCTCCCAAGGGGGATGGCCATGCCACAGTTCTTTCTCTTCCATTCTCCTCTTGGGATTTCAGGCATGTACACACACTTGCTTATCATGATTTCCAAGCTGCCAGATTTAGGACTTGAACCACAGTTGGCCATGTAGGAGTCCAGTGCCTTAACCACCTTGCCACCTGCTGGCCTCCCTTGTTTACTAATACCTGAAATTTCTTTATCAAAATACATAAAATCCTTCACTCTTCCATCAAAGATATTGACCTTAAAAATGCAATACTGGTTGAAGCAAAGTGTTGATAACCCTTATTCACATTAAAAGTATAATTCCATTCAATAAAATAAATGTAGACTTAACATTTACTAAGTACAAGGATACTGGGGTCTATGGGGCATGGATGTGAGAGACATTTTGGAGGAAGAAGGGACAGAACTTAGATTTTTATGTGACTTGTGGGGATAAGAGAGAGGAAGTACTGAAAAATGACTGGGATTTTGATGGTTAACTATTGGAAAGTCCATGGCATTTATTAAGGGGACATAAGAGGTGGAGTACTTTTTCAGAGGAAGATAATGAATTTGATTTGGGATATTTTGCATTTGATTTTCCAGCAGGATGCCTTTGAGTATGAGATGTCAGTAGCTGTATTTATTTAGTGCTGACATTCAGGAGAGGATCAAAGCTAGAGGTCCAAATTAAAAAATTAGAATCAGCAGTTGGTGTAATGGCTATGTCGCTAGATTTCCATGTAGTTGACCATGGTTCGAGTCCCAGACCCAGTGATTTAAACTCATGCTAGGTGCATGTGTGTGTGTGTGCCCAAGATCCCTAGAGGAGAATAGAGGAGAAGGGATTGTGGCATGGCCATCTCCCCGGGGGAGTGATTTCTCGCTGTCTTTCTGTCTCTCTCTGACTTTCTGGTGAGTGCATGTGCCCTATAGCAAAAACCTCTAAAAAAAAATTATCCACTAAAGTCACCATTGAAACTTTAAAAATAAGTCATATTTCTGAAGGAACGATTATTTAGCAGAAAAGATAGAAGGCTGGAATTAAACCATGAGTATTGCTTAAATTTAAGGGGCAGAAATTGGAGATAGAAACAAGGAAGGATATTGAAAAGGAACTGTTCAGAAAGTAGAAGTCCAGGAAAGTGCATTGCTAGAAGTCAGGGTTTTACCAGGGGGGACTGACCAGTGATATTAAATACTAGTGTAAGGTCAGGCAGAGCAGTTGCTCAATAGTCTTACAGAAAGATTGAGATGAAGACTAAGAAGAATATTTTAGAGCTGGCTATTAGGAGGACGTTGGTGAATAGGAGAGCTCCTTTGGTGAATAAGAGAGCTCCTTTTCTGATGTGATAGGCTAGAAACCATTTTGCTATTGGCTAAGGAGTTAATGAAAATAAGGAATTGTAACAAGCAAAGCCTCATGTAAAGTTTGGTGGTAAAGAGAAGAATAAATCAGGCCTAGAGAAGGTCAGTAGAGAAGCTGGAGGAAGAAGGAAGGCTTATGGAAAGAATTTTGGAGGGTGGAGGGAATGGAGGCAGTGGAGAGGAGAACTGAAGGTACAAGGTTGTTCAGGTGATGATGACACTGGTGGTAGAGCCAAGAGGCTTAAGGACATATAGGGTGGAAAACGAAGAGTTTAGAATATTTTATGTTAAAACATGAACTGAGAGACTTAGAGATAAATGAAAGTGTTGCTGAGAAGCAATCATGACTTGGTTGATGTCCTTGGCTGATATGAATTTGTAGTGAAGCCCAGCTCCTTGTGGCTAAGGGCCCCATTAATCAATTAAGCATTCGACAAATGTTTATTGAATGAGAGAAAGAATGAATAAGATAAGTGAATGAGTAATTGACTTGTGGAAAGCTAGAAAAATTGGACAGTGACATTTATACAAAGCCAGGAAATTGATAATTCATAAATAAAGAGGTAACAGAACCTAAAGTTATAGGAAGCTCACTATTGAAAAGACTGATTAGAGTCTGAGCTGGGTGGAGAAGGAAAATGAAGTAAAAGCAGTGATGGCCACTGATGGTCAATGTGAGGACAAAGAAGATGTTTAGTACAAGTTGCAGACATGGGAGAACTAAAATTCTCCTGGCAAAAGTAACTTCAGAGTTTAACATGGTGATGAAACAGATCTTCTTCAGCTGTGAATTACTGATGTCAGACCCTTTCCCTGTTTTATAGGTATAGGGAGTATAGAGAGTAGATGGACCTGAAGCACAGAGGGAGGGGTTGTCGCTAAGCTAAAAATAAGAAAGGGAATGACTGAAACAAGGAAGATTTCACAGATTTTACAGCTCTGCCAATGGTTGGCACTGTTGATGGCAAATTAGAAGAGAAAGTTAAAAATAATCTAAGAGTTATTAAAACTCTCTTTACCTATGACCAAATTGTCTATAAATGACCCTCATTTTCAGAAAGTTCATTAGCTGAAATACTGGGCCTATTTTCTAAACTTCTAAAGATCTATAGTGATGTGGTTATGTTGGTAAAAAAGAATTTCATCTATTAAAATCAGAAAACTTGGCCATTTATTGTTTTCGTGTATCTGTGGCATAATATTTAGTGGTTTAATTTTCTTTTTTATTAATTTTAAAATTTAATTTAATGTATTTATTTTAATTTGACCTTAGAGGGAAAAAGGAGAGAGAGAGAGAGAGAGAGAGAGAGGGGATCTGGGACTCAAACTACAGTCAGCCATGTGGGAGTTCAGTGCCCTTAACCACCACACCACCTGCCAACCCCAAGTGGCTTAATTTTCTTAATTGTGAACTTGCTATTAATGATCGTTTCCAGTTTTAATTTAAAGAGCAGTGCACAAATAGTTATTTCACACATTCCTGTTGTTGTCCTAGTGTCATTGTATAGGTGTTGAAGACAAGTCTATCTAAAATGGTGACTTCACACACTAAATAATTTTTTATTTATACCTGTAATATCATTTACTTCCTTTTGCAGATTATATTCAGATATTTTGGCAGAGACGTCTTCAATCCTCTTATACCTTTTTCTTAGAAATATTTTTGTAACAAGTGACATTAAAATTAAAGAAGAAAATCTTTTCTGTGATAATATTAAAGGCAATGAAAATTTCCCCTCTCAACAAGTAAGTGAATTAAAGTGAGGAAAAACATGTCATTTCACTATGTTTGCTTCTTGATATTCCAAGGTCATGTTCTTGTGAGATTGCATAGACTATCTTGGAAAGGACTGAGAGGGCCTTGTATGATCATACTGTTTTATTTGATATTCCTTATAGGTTTCACAGCCTGAGCTTTTGTTTTTCTTCTTCTTTTCAATGTATCTTTTTTCTCCTTTGTACTAATGTAGTATATAGTCTTCCAAAAGCTCATGGAATGCACATTATAAAAAAACTATGTATGGATTTCAAAATTTTTGGTAAATTTCATGTAATTCCTACTAAGTTGGCATTACATGTCTGCACAGGATTTTGTTTGAGGTACCAAGGATAGGACATCAGTTTGAAAAGAGCCCCTATAAGAAGAACATGAATTCTGCTAAAATTAAAGGAAGAACGAACATCAAATTTATAGTGAAACTTGAGTGGAAGGATGGTGAAATCATTGATGCTGTGTGAAAAGTTTATGGAGACAATGCCTCCTCCCCCCAAAAAATCAGCAATTTATAACAGATGGCTTTTTTTTAACATTGAAAATATATTTTTACCACATGTATTCATATTAATTCAACTTGTGATCCATGTAAACAGTTTTTGATAAGAAATTTTAAGAAGGGATGAGATGATGTTGAAGATGATGCCCATGGCAGCAGACCATCCACATCAGTATGTGAAGAAAAAGATTAATCTTGTTCATGGCCTAATTGAAGACCAATGATTAACAACAGAAACAATAGCCAACACTATGGACATTTCAGTTGGTTCAGCTTATGCATTCTGACTGAAAAATTATAGTTGAGCATACTTTCTGCTCTATGGGTGCCCAAATTATTGTCCCAGATCAGCTGCAGACAAGAACAGGATTTTGGGCATGCATGCATACACCCCTGGTCTGATTTTCAAGCTGCTGGTCTGGGGTTTGAACTGCTATTGGGATCCAGTTCCGTTAACTATTAGGCTATGGAGCCAGCCCAACATTTGTTTATAATAACAGTGTTTTTAGAAAGTTAGTTGAAGCTTTAGCAGAAAAATGACTGATAAAACTTTGCTAGAAAGTCCTTCTCCACCTCTATAATGAATGGTCCTGCTTATCCTTCTCATCAAACAAGAGCAATTTTGCAAGTTTCAATAGGAAATCATAGGGCACCCACCTTGCGGTCTTGACTTGGCTCTTTCTGACTTACTTTTTTTCCCCCCTAATCTTAAAAACTCCTCAAAGGGCACCCTTCAGTTATTAATGTGCATCAACATGATTAAATTTCCAGGACCTTCAATTCTTTACAAATCGACTAAATGGATAGTATCATCACTTACAAAAGTGTCATGAACTTGATGGTGCTTATGCTGATAAAGTTTTTATTTTTAATCTTAATGTTTTTCTTTATTTTTTGAATTTGATTAGTGTATATGCATGAGGCAGAGAGAGAGAGAGAGAGAGAGAGAGAGAGAAACACTCTCTACAGAGATTGGTCGTGCTATAGTCCTTTTTTTAGCCCTCTAGTCCGTTGGATCTTGGGTATGTACTTGCGTATACTTAGTGTATTTCAGGCTGACTGGGTCAGAGAGTCAAATCACAGTTGCCATGTGGGATCCAGCTTCTTTTGAGCAGCCCATCCTTACTCTGCCATGGAGACAACTCCATTTTATCTTTTAATTCGCAGAACTCTAACTTTACATTTTACTATCATTTGTATTTAAGCAGCAGAAGTGTTACAGGCTAGTTTTATTTACTAAAAACTTACTATTTTTCACAAATCAAAAAGAAAAATGGTGGCCAGCAGGTGGCACGGTAGTTGGAGTGCTGGACTCCCACATGAATGATCATGGTTTGAGTCCCAAACCAAGTTATAGAACTTGATTTTATTTATTTGTTTGTTTATTTTAATTTGACCAGAGAGAGAGAGAAAGAGAGAGAAAGCTACCAGGTTTGGGACTCGAACTTAAGTCGGCTATATGGGAGTCCAGAGCCCTGGACTACCATGCCAACTGCTGGCCCCATTTCTTTAAGAAAAAGGGAAATGGGAATCTGTTATCCAAGTAGGAGCAATAACGCATAGATGTTATATTTTAATGATTATTTTTTATAATTTACAGTTATGAAAACTAGATGTTTTTCTTATATTAAAATATTCTATACCTAAGGTTTTATTTTGCCAAAAAAAAAAAAAAATCAGTTCCTTTTCTGTTTTAGTGATGTTTGTATTGTTTTACAAAACATTCTCTAGTTCTAATTCCAGTACTGGGCTCTCATATGTATTATTATCAGGGAGTTGGAGTTGTTTCTGAATTTAGATATTCTTATGTCAACATTCATGGTGTTGCTAAGTCACTGGGATCACATTTTCAACTCTTTTTATCTTTAGAGACCTCAAAGTTAAGCACCTGGTATTTATTGAGTAACAGTGAATTTTTTTTTTTTTTTTTTTTTTTTTTTTTTACAGATTGCTAGACTGACTGAATGTGAGAGAGTACTAGTGGCATTGGAACTTAGTAGCTTCCTAAATGATTCCAGTTATGCCCTTCAAGCTGTGACTCAATGTTATGGTCTCCTTGCTCCAATAATCTATCACAATATTGTTTTGGTACCTGTTATACAGGTAGGAGTATTTCCTCTGCTCTATTCCTCCAGATAAAGGTGTTTTTATAAAGGCAGCTCAACAATTCATTTTGGGAAAGAAAAGTAATGTATCTTTGTAAATGCAAATAGGTCAAGAACAAGTATTACGAAATTTCAGGAGCTAACTGAAAAACAATTTAATAAATTATGTGTCTGGGCAAATGTAAATAAGAACATAAAATGTGTTTCTCTGAAAACATTCAGCCCTGTTGTCCACATTTAAATACCGGCAATCTTCTTTTCTAGGCTTTTAAAGTTATTTCAATTTTGATGTCCCTGTAATGTTAGAAATAGCAGCATTTAGTCAAAGCATTTTGTTAAATCTGTCATCTGGGGAAAATAAGGTGGATGACTCAAGAAAAAATACTTGGTATTTTGGTGATAGAGGAGTTGGGATTTATGGGAAGAGGTTAGGTGAGGCCTGACTGAAAGGATTATATTAGTTATCTCTGCTTCCTAAAAAACCTGCATAAATTTAGTGGCCTCAAGGGACACCCATTTACTCATAATTTCTGTTGTTCAGGAAGCTGGATATGTGTTAGCTGGGTCTTCTGTCTAGGGTCTCATTAGATTGAAGTCAAAGTGTTGGCCAGGTGTTTCATCTAAGGCTGGAGTTTTTTTTTTTTTTTTTTAAATTTTTTTTTTGTTAAAGGTTGCTTGGGCTCCCCA